CACTGAGAAGATTATAAAACGATTTCATCAGTCCGTTTCAGTCAAAGAGCTTCTAAGACTGATGTACTTTTCTCTAACAAAACTGAAAAGAATCGATAATCCTGACAAAAACAAATCACTTAACTATGAATTTGCTTCGGTCACCATAGCTCAAACCATCCCAAGCGGGACACCAACCCACTAAACACCTACAGAATTCGGAAAATAGACAAAACAAATGAATTTTGAGGTGTCAAAACGATGCTTCCGTCGACATTTTCAGAGGACTCGCCCTTTCATACAGAACTTAACTACTGAACTCGTGAAGTCGAAATAACGCACCAAATCTGCCAGATTAGCCCCTCCTTTGAGAGGAGAGAAATAATGCTTGAGAACAATCGCATCACAAGACTTCTCAACCCTGATCCTGATCCAGCTGCCTTGTCGACTGTAGGAAGTGAATGCGATGAAAAATCGACAAAAGCGGAAGCAGTGACTGCACGCTGCACGCAAATGCGTGTGCCGTGCGCTCGCGCAGGGCAACTAACGCGCAAAAGATGGCAGCACGCGGTAATAACCACACTGTTCCAAGCCACAAGGGCGAAATTGTGCGAAGGGATATGAACTGACATTAGTTTAAAGTGATGTTCAAGATTTTGAGGTTAGTGAGGGGAGTCGTTAAGCTGAATTGAGTGGATCCGCTAAGCATCAGCTGTAATTAACTGCAGTAAGTCACGAATGCATCTGTCACAAAGGGTGCCTTCAAAGTGACAGGAAAGCGAATCAGAAAATGCAAACTGAACCAAAGTACACATTTGAATAACCACAACTAGGTACTTTCCTCAAGGAAATTTTATATGGCAGATGCAATAGGAATGCAGAAATACGTATTCAAGTGCTAACACAAAAGTTAAAATAAAGAGTTGTTGGGTTTATTAACTTTTGAATCACTTCTAGTTCTTTGCTAAAACCTGACTAGTAATTCCCTCGGCTCCAAAGAATCAGTACACTTCTCACGCAACAATTGGCAACATCGACATCGCTAATGTTAAAAATTGGATAGTCATTGGCATCGAATGAGCAGGCAACATTCCTGACATGCAAACAGCCAAACTTATCACCCAAGTAGGAGTAATTAATCAATGTAAGCGAAAAAATGACCCATATTTCATAGCCCTTCTACAACAGTGCACAAAATCCAAAACCTACGGTAAATTACTGCAATAAATGTTAAAGTATCCCCACGAAGTTAAAAAGAATAAATAGATGAAGAGAGCATAAACATATGCGCTGTCCAGTGGTGAACTGCTAAGTACTCCATTGAGAAACCAGACAAACCGAAAGATTAAAGCACGAAAGGTAACACACCTCATTAAAAGCTAGAGAAGGAAATGGAGCTTACCTAGTTTGTAGGTAGGATATATCTCTTTGGGAAGGAACGATTGGGACTGAGACTTATTTCGCTTTGAGAGCTCTATGGCGGCATCACGCGCCTTTTGATAGGTTCGTATTTGCGTTAGACTTTCTAAAATGCATGATAGGAACTTGCATGCGTGAATAGATGCGTCCGTACAGGGTGACATCACTCGACCAACAATGTACTTCAGCGTCACTCTGTCAAAAATAGTGGCACTCTATGGGGTAGAATTAAGAATTAGCAGAAGTAATAAGCGCCAGAATCCCGTAAGACAACCATAAACACTAACTTACCAAGGTGGGTACAGTCTTCATTATGTTCTCCAGTAATGATAGAGCAAGGTTAACGATCCGATTACTTGGATTACTAATGAGGTTAAAGATTTCGAAACTGTTGGGATGTGACCAAATCTCGTTAACTGCAGCCTTAGTTTCTTCTTTTATAAGAGCAACCAAATTGTTAAGAGCCTAGAAATGATTATTATAAAGTCTTTCGAGCATTCTCACAGTCTCAATAGCATCAGCCGAGGATTTTTCATTAGTAAGCATAGTAAACATTGTATTTATTTTTCCCTTCAAACTGCATTCGAATTCTCGCTTTTGAACAACACATGATTCGACACGGCGAATAAGGTCATTGACAGCTTTGTTATTTGGTTCAAGTTGAAAAAGCTTCTGCGCATCAACAATCGATTCCTTAAGATTCCCCAACTTTTCGTAAGCAACAGAACGACGATAGAGGGCCTTGGTATCGGTAGGCAATATTTTTAGAGCTAAAATATTTTTATCGAAGCCAAAACGGAATAGTTACCTTCAGTTGCTGCTCTTATGGCTTCGTCATACATGCACAACTTTAAGAAACACTGTGCTAGATTGCGATATGCAACTTGTTGACAACTTTGATCCCCCTCAGCATTTTTTACACATGCTTTGTATAATTTAGCTGCCTCCAAGTAATTTCCTTCCGAAAAAAAAGAATTTCCGCGCGCTCGTAGCTCGAGCGGCGACCCCATCATCCTGCACCAATTTAAAAGACGTTCACTTTGAGGTTGTTGATTTGGCCACTCATTTATCGCTATCGGCTTAGACGAACGATTTTGTAATTAACCTTTAAAGCAGCTGCAAAATCGATTTTATTTAGCAAAATTTCAATGCTGCGTGTGAGTCCTTTTGCGGCATGCTAACGGTTTGGATGATTTCTTGTTTCTCTAATCCATCCATTGCTGTTTTGTCAAAAGCAGTGGCTTATTTGTCTTCCCTCCTTAGGTTTAATCAATAAGGTAAGCTAAATTATTCGGAAATATTTTTTGACATATGGAATGTTTTGAAGAGTGTGTAGTCGGGAGAGGAAGTCATTCAGCCTATGTCCGCAGCCATGAAAAAAAAACAATCTCCAGCACAATTAAGTGAACACCACATAGCACTATCCATCTTCGGTTTTTACTACTATCGATTGTAGAAACTGGCTGCCTACCCTCACGCCCTTGAACCACGGACTTCAAGTGAGGGCCAGCTGCAGTAGATTTACTAGGCATTGAATGTAGGAAGAACGGAGGTAGCAGTAAAGATGAGCCGAATAGCAGATTTCACTCGGAGAGGGATTCTTCACAATCCTCACTCACCGGATTCGCGTTCGAATTCGCTTTCCGCCCCTCCTTATATTGGTCAACTTAAACACTAGTATATATTACACAGCCTCTCCTTCTCTTTCAAGCACCGTCCCCGGTGGTGACCAGTAGAATTTCCTTAGGCGGCTTTCCTTTTTCTGCCAACGTATAGACTTCGTCTTTGTAACCTACTGGAGACGCACTCGTGTATGGCCTAATCTAGTTATGATGTACGGTTAGAGGCTGAGTAGCGATCTCCACCTTCCGAATTATACAGTTCGTGGGCGACAGGACTTTATTACCTGGTAGGATTCCTTGTTCCAGGGATGGTAGAATTTTTGATGGATTCTTGGTGGGAGAAGTGGTCTATACAATTGCATCTAGTCATCCTCAGTAAAGACGTTTATTTGCTTCTTCCTAACGTACGACCTCTTTCGCCTAGCATATGCTTTCTTCAGCTGTCTGTGTGCAGTTAAACACTTCCTTGAGGTTTCCCTTTAGTCGTAGGACATACCGAGGCACGTTATCCACTAACGGTTTCCTACGAGGGAGAGAAATGTCGGGAGTACAGATGAGCCGAATAGCAGATATCACGCGGAAAGATTCCTCACGGTCCTCATGCACAGAATTCGCGTTAGAATTCGCTTCCTGCCTCTCCCCTATATAGCTTAACGTAAGCACTAGTATATGTTGCATCGGTCTTGCGATTTTAAAGATTTAGCTTACTGTTTATTGCTCTAGCAGCTCTAGCTGCCTCATTACTTAAGTCCACCTCAAGGGCGATATGCGCCACATGGCTCGAGCAGATACCTTCTGGCCAAGCACAGCGCGTCTTCTCCCGCCATTACAATAACAGACGCTGTAGAAGCCAAAAATGATTAACAAACTTATCACTATCGACAATTGCGTCATGCCAACCAAATAGGAGCA